GGCAGCAAAAAAGTTAGAGCCGGCCCTGGGCGGATTTGAGTATGGGCTTCTTTATTGCGATACTTGTTCCCCTGGACCCAATTGTCCAGTAAGCACTGAATTAGTTACAGCACACTCTTTTTGTTTAGGCAAAGTTCCTCCTCTGCCTTGGTGGGTCATGCACTTATTGGCAAATTTGCTCACTTCAGAGATTCACGGCAGCTCTCAGTTCGGCCACTTTTGTTAGTGGCTCAAACCTGCCATTCACTCAGCTAAACTCATCTCTGGCCGGCATGGGGAAATAGAAGGAGAACAATCCCCGCAGTCTCTGCTGATCCACCTATGGGGTCAGGGGACAGGCCAGGGACCTTACCCTTTGGTGGGACCCACAGTCCAGGACAACTCCTCCTGTATCCAATAGGGAGTTGGGGGAATGGCGGAAACCCAGGCCCACCCTCTACTCCAGGTTCCAGCCCAGGGCCCTGTGAATCACAGCTGTCTACAGTGTTTCTTGTAACAGTTGTGTGACAGCTACAGCTCCCTGGGATACTTCCCCATGGTCTCCTCCCAACACCTTTATCCTCACCACAGGACCTTCTTCCTGATGGCAAAGCATTGTACTCCTCAGTTCTCCAGCAACACACCCTCTCACTCTCAGCTCCTTGCAAGCCCCTCACTGACTGAACTGAGGTCCTTTTTAAACCAGGTGCCCTGATTAGCCTGCCTGTCTTAATTGATTATAGCAGCTTCTTAATTGACTCAAGGTGTCCTAATTAGCTTGACTGCCTTAATTGGTTCCAACAAGTTCCTGGTGCTTGCCCACATCACAGTTCTCAAAAGGATCATTCTCCTGTAGCTATCTGGCCCAACCCTGTCAGAGTATGTACACGCCTACATCCACTACAACACGCCCAAGACCTTTATTAAGTAATAGAAACACTCACGGTTAGTGAACCCACCTCTGTCTATTACTAATAGCATTACACATTACTTCTACCTTGAAGATATATTTCTTTTCAACAATTTGTTGCCTTAAATGTTCATTATTAGCAGTTCTCAGGGGAGGGAGGAAGGGGCTGTGAACAGTTCTTAGGGGAGGGCGGGGGAAGGGCTGGTTTAAGTAGCTGGGAAAGGGAGGGAGCAGACGATAACATTCCTTTTACCTTCTTTTACACAAAGGGCATTTCTCCTGAAGCTTCTGCAGTTGCATCCTTATCTATCTTTATAAGCAACAGAGAAGGAAGAATCTGGCAACTTATATTTTAGACAAAGAAATACTAATGAATTTGCAACTTATGTATTAGACACAAAAATATTGCCTACATATGCCTTTGTTGCCTAATACCATATCAGCACATTAGCAGCTTATCATTATACTTAACCCTAAAATATCCCAACAGGTAGCAGTACCACAACCCCCCCACACACACAAAAGCCTTGTGACCCCCCCACAACTCCTTTTTGGGTCAGGATCCCTACAATCACAACACTGTGAAATTTCACATTTAAATAGCTGAAAAATGAAATATGCAATTTTTAAAATCCCAAGACCGTGAAATTGACCAAAATGGACAGTGAATTTGGTAGGGCCCTACCTATAATACAAATAATGGTTTAATTGGAGCTAGGACAGTTTACTCCAGCTGATGATCTGGTCCTGTAACAATATTTTTCATGGGTAGGCTATTCAAAGCCCTCTAAAGAAGACAGATGCCCCAATCTCATTAATATTTCTGGGAGCTGGGTAGACAAATCCCTAAATGACTTTGAAAATCTGAGTCTGTAAACACAAAGGGGCAGAGCTAAGGTGGTGGGTGCAACATTGTCCCCAAATGAGTCCATTATTGTGTATCCTTTGTGTTTTCTGAATGCATAATTGTGTGATGGATTTTCCTAGGTTTTCAAGTAGGAAGATTTCAGAAGGAAAAAAAGAAACAGCTTCAATCTCCAGAATTTTGAAAACTTGCTAGCAATTGGCACAAGAAGAAGAGTAAAGGTTACATTTTAAGGGATTATTTTTCATTATTTGCTTTAAAATAGGTCACTGTTCATAGTTCTTTTTAAACCTATCTCAGCACACACAGTGCTCATACTGATCATCTAATGCATCAACTTTCTCCTACTCAAGCATATTGCCTGATATATATCTCCTTCTGTGTTTTAACATAATAAACACTAATAACACAAACCTCCTCACAATGTTTGGTGTAATAATACTTATGTGAATGAAAATGAGCATTGCACAGTCAGTACAAATAAATAAAAGAAAAAGAATCTGTGTTCTTTGCTAAACCTGGTGTAAACAATTGTGTTACCTGCAAGATACTCAGGAGATACACCAGAGATGCCCCATAGATACTAACAAAACAGTACATTGTTATTCCATATATAAACCTGAGTTAATGAACAGATACTACAGAAGTACTACATTGCTATTACTCCATAGATACTACAGTATTACAACAAAGTTACCACATAGATACAGTCAGCAGAATGTGACTTTTCTTTTTGTAATTTCAATGGATAATATTGATATTTATTTTTAAGCATTTGTTTTCAATTTTTATTGATTTAAATTTTCACTATTGTGGAAAATTATGTGGGGATCAAATAATTTTTTAGTGGCAGTAGACTCTGAGATTCAAAAATGTAAAGCTTTATAACTGTTAAAACACACATTGTCACCATCACATGTAAATATATACAAAGTAAATATCTTTAAATCAAACTCTAATAACTGCTCAAGCAGCATTTTTCTTACTTTGCCAAACTGTAAATTTCACTTATTATTGATGTAAATATTCTTTTTGTTGGTTTCTGTGTGTATAGTGAAATTTACCTTTACCAACATTTACAGATAAAAATCTAATCTTCCCACACCTATGCATAGATAATAAAAATTTGCTACAAAATTATTCCACAGATTATATAGGTTTATTAGATGAAATCTACATAATTACTATATAATTTCTTCATAGATACTACATACTTACAATAGAGTTACTCAATAGATATTACAGATTTACAACACTGTTATTCAAGAGATATTATAGGTATTACATAAAATATGAAGAGTTACTCCATAGATACAACAGAGTTGCTCCATGTGCTGTACAATTACAATATATATTTTCCTATAGATATTACAGAGATACAACTAAGTTGCTCCAAAGATGCTGTGACATTACCACAGAGTTACTATTAAGTTAGTCCATAAATAGTACAGAGTTACCACTATATTGTTCCATATATAACAATGAATACTGCATGGATACTACAACATTACTACTTAGATACTAGAGTTGCTACAAATGGACTCCATATGCAGTACAGAATTACTCCATAGATACTATAGTTATTAATTGTAATATATCATTTTTGAGATGGTGCGACCAAAACTGCACACCATGGATTTATATAGTGTCATTATAGTATATTCTGTTTTATTATATATCCACTACCTAATGGTTACTAACATTTTGTTACCTTTTTTGACTGCCTCTGCATATTGAGCGAATGTTTTTCAGAGATCTATCTATGGTGACTCCAAGATCACTTTCTTGTGTGGTAACAGCTAATTTAGACCCCATCATTTTGTATTTATTGCTGGGATTATGTTTTCCAATGCTCATTACTTTGCATTTATCAACATTGAATTTCATCTGCCATTTTGTTGCCCAGTCATCCAGTTTTGTGGGATCCCTTTGTGAAGCTTCACAAACTGCTTTAGACTTAACTATTCTGAGTAATTTTGTATTGTCTGCAAACTTTGCCACTTCACTGTTTGTCCCTTTTTCCAATTTATGAATATATTGAACAACACTGGTCCCAGTACAGATGCCTGGGGGACACCACTATTTCTCTCTCTCCATTTTGAAAACTGACTATTTATTCTTACTCTTTGTTTCCTATATTTTTAACCAGTTACTGATCCGTGACAGATTTTCGTTACCAATCTGCCCAGGACCACAGTTGACCAGGCTGTGGCCACAGGATCTTTTGGGGAGGAGATGACGAGGCACACACCAAGTGTCTAAATTTTAAAGCTTTATTGATAAAACAATAAAATAACAGGAGAGAGTGCTGAGACTGTTCCCATGTCACTCAGGGGAAGAAAGAAAGCGTTAATGCCCCCAGGCCCTAACCCACTTTCATACTCACACGCTCACGGTGTAACATCAGAAGAAGAGGGGGGAAAGGTGGATGGGAGTGCTATCCTGGGCCCAGGTTGTCTGAGAATCTGTTGTGCTCTCCAAGTTGCTCCAGCTTTCAGGAGGGTTTTAAGTCCTGGGCTGCTTTGGGGGTGTTTTTGTCCAGAGCCCTCTGTTCCTGGTACTCTTTGTACCAGTCCAAACAGGCTTGCTATGGTCTCTTTCCCTTTCCCAAAACATCCTAGCTTCAGGGATGCCTGACTCGGTATCCCCTCTTGTTGTCTCACCTGTGTTTTCAGATTGGCAGCCCTGGGCTTTGTTTTCCTCTCCACTGGCTTTACTGTCCTGCAGGTGCAGGTCAGTGTAGTCGGTTTCCCATGGCCTCACGGGCAACTTTCAAGCCCCCTTCTTTCTCATCTGTCCTCCAAGTCTCAGCTGTGAGCAGTGTCCTTGGGTGGAGGCCAGCATCTTATCTTTGGACTGAGCTTGCTAGCTGCAGAGTTGAGTTAACCCATTTTCTGCTCTCTTTCTCCTCCCCTTTTGGCCTCTCTTACCTACAAAGGAAACTTCCACTCTCCACTCACACACTTTTGACCCTCTTCAAAATGCTTTGCAGTGCTTGCAACAGAGTTAGCCACATACAATGCTGATCTGCCTTCCCCAGGGGACTCCCTACTGGGAGGGGTGCATTGGGGTGTGACACCTTCCCTCTCATCCCATGATACCTTACTTTGCTTAAGAGCTCTTGGTGAGGGACCTTGTCAAGGGCTTTCTGAAAATCTAAGTACACTATGTCCATTGGATCCCCCTTGCCACATGCTTGTTGACCCCCCTCAATTTCTTCTTCTTCTTCTTCTTCTTCTTCTTCTTCTATTTCCCTCTCCACAGCCCATATCTGCCCAGCAGCCTCTTCATGGCACTGATGATCTCCTTGTTCCTGAGTGTGTAGATGATGGGGTTCAGCAGGGGGAAGACCACGGTGTGGAACACAGCCACCACTTTGTCCAGGGGGAAGCTGCGGAAGGGCCGGCAGTAGATGTAGGTGGCCGGGCCAAACATGATGATGATGATGATGATGTGGGTGATGCAGGTGGAGGCCGCTTTACTCATCCCCTTTGAGGAGCCACCTGCCCACAGCCGGACCAGCAGGGCCCCGTAGGAGATGAGCAAGAGGATGAAGCACAGCATGGTGACCAGGCCACTGTTGAAGAACATGAAGAACTCCAGCACATAGACATCAGTGCAGGCCAGCTTGATCACCTGGGTGATGTCACAAAAGAAACTGTCCAGCTCATTGGGGCCACAGAAGGGGAGCCGGGCAATGGGGATGACCTGGATGAATGAGTGCATGAACCCCACGGCCCAGGCAGCCCCTACCAGGGCCCAGCAGACCCCTCTGCTCACCACAGTGGTGTAGCGCAGGGGCTGGCAGATGGCCACATACCTATCAAAGGCCATGCCCATGAGCAGGTTGATTTCAGCCCCTCCTAGGAGGTGGAGAAAGAAGAGCTGGGCAAGGCATCCCCCGTAGGAGATAGTCTTGTGGTGGGACAAGAAGTGGCTTATTACCTTCGGGGGGATGACAAAGCAGTAGCAGATGTCCAGGAAGGCCAGGTTGGCCAGGAAGAAATACATGGGGGAGCCCAGGTGGGGGTCACCCCAGATGCTGAGGATGATGAGGATGTTGGCTGGGAAGATGACGATGTAGAAGAGCAAGAAGAGGACAAAGAGGAAAAGCTGGACCTCCCGGGTCTGAGACAGCCCCAGCAGTAGGAACTCTGTCACCTCTGTGTGGTTCCCACGCTCCATCCCTTCAGCATGAGGTCCTGCAATAGAAAACAGGGTGAATGTTATTGTAAAATTTACTATGCACATTATGGTAGTGGTGTGGTGCAACTTATACCATGGCCCCCATTGTACCAGCTGCTGCGAAGATCCCAACTGAGATCAGGGCCCCCATCATACCAAGTGCTTCACAGACACTCAGCGAGAGGCAATCGCTGGCCAAGATGTAAGATACAGGGATATAACTAGGGATGATTAGAAATTTTCCATCAAAATGTTTAGCTGGTGATGAAGTGAATATTTTTGTGAGAAGTGCCTGCTTCCCTTGTAATTAAAACATTTTTTTTCCTTGGAAAAACTCAAACCTTTCACTTTGAAATTTTGGGGTTTTTCAATGCAAAATCAAAAATTTCCCCCCTGACAATTTTGACCCGAAATGCCTTTTCTTTTCATTTTAATCTTTGGGGTTTTTTTGGCAGGGGAATGATGGTGGCATGTGTGTGCCTGAGTGTCACCGAAAGAATTTGGATGGGGTTTAGTGAGGAGGGGTTAGTCAGATAACCAAACCAAGAAAGTGACAGAGCCATAGAAGCAGAGAGATAAGGGGGACAGGGCACATGGGGAAACAGGAGGGCTAGTAAAGAAGAAGCATGTGGGAATTGTTACTGTGAGTGGTAATATCTTGATATTTCTTCCTTCCTTTTTTTATTCACTTATTCTTTTATCTCATCCTCCATTTATGTATGTATTCCTCCAATTTCTTATGCATGCATTTGATTAGTTGTCCCTTCATTTACAAATTAATTGAAATTATTAATGTAATTTAATCACCATTTCTTCATTTATTTACATGTTCATTCATTGTTTGTTATTCATGTATTTGTTCAATACACCATTTATGTTTTTATTTATACATTCATCTGTTGTATTCTTCCACTATTTGTTCATTCATTCACGTCTTTATTCTTTTCTTTATGTGTTATACATTCATTTATTATTTCCTTCCATTGTTTATTCATTTATTTATACATAAATGTAATCATCTATCCACTTTTTATTTATTTATACATTCTATTCTTAATTTCAACATTAATTTATGTAGACATTAATTTATTCATTAGTTTAATCAATCATTCATTCTTTTTATTCTTTCACTTAGTTATACATTCTATTAACATATTATATATATATATTATATATATATATATTCCTTCATGTATTGGTATTCATTTATTTATTTCATGCATTAATGTATTCTTTTAAAAATTACTTATATTTTCATTGACTAATCAATTTAATCATGTATCAATCCCTTCATTTATTTATTTATGCATTCCTACCTGGACTTATTTATTTCTTCATTTATCAATCCAATCATGGATTCCTTCTTTCCTCTAATCCTTCATTTATATGTACATTCTGTTATTCATTTATTTATTTATTTACATAATCATGTATTTATTCCTTTATATATTTATCTGAACATTCACTGATTGCTTCATTGATATATTTATACAAATATTTATCACTTAATTATTAATTATATTTAACCAATTACATATCCCTTCACATTCATGTGTAGACATTTATTAATTCATTGTAACACTTACTTGATCTTTTATTTACTAATTAATTTATGAATTTATTTACTTTTTAATTATTTATTTCTACATTCCTTCCTTCCTTCCTCCTTTATTCATTTATTAATTCTTAGGTCCCGATTGTGCAGACACTCTACAGTCCCCTGTCAATCATTGGGATGACTCAGCAACATGAAGTTCAGCACACACATTGCAGCACCGTGTGTGTGTGTGTGTGTGTGTGTGTGTGTTACTTAGTTCCTACTCTAGCCATTTATTAATTAAGATAATCCTGTATTTATCCTTCCTTTTACTCATTCATTCCCCAGCTATTCATTCTCCTGCATTGATTGTCTTGATAAATATGCACCATGGCCAGGCAGTGTGAACAGTGACATTAGAAACACTCCTACACCCTTCCCCCCACTGTATTCCCTGAAAATCCCAAACTCTGACCTCTCCGGGAATGTCTGGGATAGCCAGAGGCTGCAGGTTGGGATTGATGGGGATTGGCAGAGCTGTGTGTGTGGAAAATCCAGGGCTGGGATAACAGGGATTGAGGGGCTGTGGCAAAGCTGGGGATGGGGGAAGCCCAGGATTGGAAAGAAAGAAAGAAAGAAAGAAAGAAAGAAAGAAAGAAAGAAAGAAAGAAAGAAAGAAAGAAAGAAAG